TTTTCAACGTTTATTTATTTTTGGGACAGAGAGAGACAAAGCATGAACGGGGGAGGGGCAGAGAGAGAGGGAGACACAGAATCGGAAACAGGCTGCAGGCTCCGAGCCATCAGCCCAGAGCCTGACGCGGGGCTCGAACTCACGGACCGCGAGATCGTGACCTGGCTGAAGTCGGACGCTTAACCGACTGCGCCACCCAGGCGCCCCTGTAAGAGCATCTTCTAACCAACCTGTCAATGTCATAATGCTAAGCTAACTTGCCTAAATTTGACCAAAATAACCCCTATTAGTACTTCAAATCAGTGGAAGTCTTAGCGTCCTACTGTGCCCATGTGCCATCTCTCCTGGTACCTACTGTCCACATACCTCCAGTATAAAGCCTTTTCTTCCTTCCCACCTAGGACCTTATCCGAAGAGACATCCTGTACTACAAAGGCCGCATTGACATGGATAAATATGAGGTAGTTGACATTGAAGATGGCAGAGATGATGACTTTAATGTCAGCATGAAAAATGCTTTCAAGCTTCACAACAAGGAGACTGAGGAGATACATCTATTCTTTGCCAAGAAGCTGGAGGAGAAGATACGCTGGCTTAGGGCTTTCAGAGAAGAGAGAAAAATGGTACAGGAAGATGAAAAAATTGGTAAGTGACCTGAGAGGAGAAAGAAGAATATGGCTATGAAGAACATAGAGGAATTGAATTAGTTTTCATTTTTCTAGAAACAGATGGAAGACTTCTGTTGCAAACTGACCTAATCCACTTTGGTGGTTTCCTATTATCAGGTCCTTTTTGGCAGATACCAGTAGTTTCTACTAGTCAGGGTTAAATGAGAGTTATAATTTGGCCTGCCTTACAGTCTCTTGACAAGATAAAGCTATTACACTAAAAGCAAACCTCAACCTCAATTCTCCCAAACATACAAACATTTATTAGCAAACACAAAAACAGTCATACAACCTGTCCTATCATCTCAACGGAGTCCCAGTTCTGTTCTTAGATACATGGCAGCATCTTTTGTGTAAAGGTTAGTCAAGGAAGAGTTGGTGATATAACAACAGCATTCAACTAACTTTCTAGTAAGAATCTGGTGACAAAGTCCTCTGATGGGGAACAAAGCATAGCACCTGTTTTCAATCTTGACCTGAGGCTTCCTTCTGCAGGGTACAGGATATGGGGCTCACTGGATTTTTATGCCCAGTTCTTATGAAGGCTAAAGAGCCTGTAAGACATTTGTGGCTAGTACACATCTTGAATAACATTAATTTTACCACTAAAAATTCATTTTTAGCATGTATTAGGCTAACTAGGCCTCCTGCATTAAGGTGACTGAACTGCTGGTAATAATGGCCTCTGGAGCAAATAATTCTGAGTGTTTAATATGTTAACAAATCACCTCTTCAGTGTGTATACCAGATTAGGGCACGTCAGATGTTAAGTAAATGCCCTGAGAGCATAGATTAAAATTAATGTGCATGTATATATCACACTGTCTGTATGAAAGTGTTTTAAGTAAATGGTAGAAAATATAACTGGGTCTAAAACCATGATCACTTGCATGATTTAGAGTCCCACTAAACCATACATTTTTGGCTTTAAACAGATTGTTCCCCTTTTTGAAAGAGTATATAATTAGTAGAGAGAGTTTTAATGGTGTTTTCCAAATGTGGGATTTAGGTCCCCTTGACTATAGCTTTGTGGTTTACAAAGTACTATCTGGTCTCTTGCTCATGGTCCTGCCATTTTCGCATAAAAATACCAAACAGCCAGACTTTGTAATTCCCTGAGAAGACACAATTTCCGTTTTTGCCCATCCTTAATGAGAGTGGAATTTTATATTAAAACACTTGTATGTTCAAGCTGGTATAAAATGCCTCTAGAAAAATGGGCCTACCCATTGAATCCTGATGCAAATGGATTCTTCTGTCCTTCAGTGTCGGTGATTTAAATGGTTGAAAGATAAGGAAGGATGATCAGAAAGACACTGCTTAGTCTACTCCTAGTCTTTTCCTTAGGTTTGGGGTAGAGTGCATATTAATAATTCACTTTGAATTCCACTGAAGTCAAATTGCTTTTAACATAAAAGCACTGCAATGGGACATGATGTGGAGTTGTACAGGAATGCTACTTGACTGCTTCTCTCAATGGTAGGCAGCAGCAGCCTCTGATACCACTTAGGTTGTTAGAGCTATTAAAGGAATTGTCTTAGTATGCTTTATGTAGACCCTAGATGAACTGGAAGATCCCCACCATTCCCTCTGATTCCACCATGATATCTCCCACACAATGCCCTAATAACCTGTAACTTTAAGAATCTGCTTCTAATAGAAAAGCTTCCAGAAGTTAGTTTATTTTTTAATTTTTTTTAGGTTCTTCTTTAAATTCCAGTTAGTTAACATACAGCATAATATTAATTTCAGGTATAAAATTTAGTGATTCAGCACTTTCATACCATACCTCATACTCATCATAAGTGCACCCCTTAATCCACATCACCTATTTAACCCATCTGCCCGATGACCTCCCCTCTGGTGACAATTGGTTTATTCTCTATAAAGAGTCTGTTTTTTGGTTTGCCACTCTCTTATTTTCCCCTATGATCATTTGTTTTGTTTATTAAATTCCACATGAGTGAAATCACATGGTATTTGTCTTTCTCTGACTTATTTTGCTTAGCATTAGACTCTATAGCTACACCCACCAATGGAATATTACTCAGCCATAAAAAAGAATGAAATAAAAGAATGAAATCTTGCCATTTGCAGCAAAGTGGATGGAGCTACAGAAATTACTTTCTGATAGACCTATGGTTATCTTTTTGAAAACATTACTTTTTTCTAATTATAATAACACTTTTATTTAGGCAATTTTTGGAGAAAAACAGAAAAATACAAGAAAAAATAAAAATAACACAAGAGCATGCTACCCAGAGAGAGAGAATTTTTATAAAAATTTTCATATATTTCCTTCCTATGTGTTTTAAATATGTCTAAATAAAAAAAATAGGACTAGGATTGCTGATTCTTTCTGTCTCCCCCAAACTACCTCTCCATGATGAATAGTTCTAATTTTATATCTTTATTTTGCACTTAAAATCATATCATTAGCATTTCCCTATGTCAGTTAATATTTTTAATCATTATTTTTATGGCTGCCACATAAATTTATCATAATTTTATTTTTACTTTCTAATTATAAAACAAATACATGGCCGTAATAACCATTTAACACATACTAAAATGTAATAAATTTTAGCATTATTTTCCCTTCTCTGTCACTCCTATGCTGTGTGAGATAATCAGTATAAATTTGGTATGCCTAGTTCCATGCTTATGTTCATATAAACATATATACACATAAGACTTTTCAAAAAATTTACTTACAAAAGTTATACCAAACATATTATTCTGTAACTTGTTTTTTAAAGCCTAATTTATCATAAGGAACTCTTCAGGTGAAGAATGTAGACTATAACTATAACTTCTATCAGTGTTCAAACAGAGAAACACAACACATAGGAGAAGCATTATTATTTAAGAAATTTATTATAAAGAACTGACTGATATGATTGCAAAACTTGGCTAAGCAACTCCAAAATCTATGGAGCAGGAAGTCAGAATGCAAGATCATGGGCAGGCTCAAACTCAAAGGCATAGTTCAAAGCTGTCATCTGTAGGCAGGAAGATCATGACAAGGATGGGACTTTGCATACATAGACTGAAGCTGAGACAGAATTTCTCCCTTCTGGAGATACCTCAACCCTGTTTTTTTTAAGCAGTAAAAACACCATGAGTTCTATGCTCTTAACAAAATTTTAAGTGCATAATATAGTAATGTTAACCATAGGCTCAATGTTGTACAGCAGATTTCTAGAACTTATTCATATCTTATATAAATGAATCTGTAGTTTTGATAGGATTCCTTTGAATTTGTAGATGACCTTTGGCAGAATGGATATTTTAACAATATTAAGTCTTCCAGTTCAAAATGAAAGGCCAATATCCCTGATGAACGTACATGAAAAAAATTCTTAATAAAACAGGAAAAAACAGAATTCAGCAGCACAATAAAAGGATCATAAATCATGAACAAGTAGGATTTATCCCTGGGATGCAATGATAGTTTAACATATGCAAATCAATTAATGTGATACATCACTCTAATGAAAGATAGAAATCACATGATCAAAACTATAGATGCAGAAAAATGATTTGATGTAACTAATCATTATTTCATGATAAAAAAACTCACAGCAAACTATGTATAGAATGAATTTACCTGAACATAATAAAGGCTATATATGAAAGGCCCCACAGCTAGCATCATACTCAAGGGGGAAAAACTGAAAGCTTTTTTTCTTAGATCAGTTCTAAGACAAAGATGCCCATTTTCACCATTTCTATTCAACATAGTAGTGGAAGTCATAGCCAGAGAAAATTAGGCTAGAAGAAAATAAAAGGCATTCAAATGGGAAAGGAAAAAGTAAAATTATTACTGTTTGTAGATGACATTATCTTATAAGTAGAAAACCTTAAAAACACCACAGAAATACTTTTATGTCTAATAAATGAATTCAGTACAATTGCAGGATACAAAATCAACATACAAAAATCAGTTGTGTTTCTAAATACTAACAATGAACTATCTGAAAAAAAAATTAAGCAAATACAGTAGTCCCAATTATAATCACATCAAAATGGATATAATAGGAATAAACTTAACCAAGAAGGTGAAAGATTTCTACACCAAAAATTATAAACCCTTGCTGAAAGAAATTAAAGAACACATAATAGACTTAATATTGTTAAAATATCTATTTTGCCCAATGCCATCTACAGATTCAATGTGATCTTAACCAAACTCCAATGTTATTTTTTTACAGAAATAGAAAACACAATCCTAAAATTCATGTGGAACCACAAAAGAACCATAATAGCTAAAAATATTTGAGAGAAAGAACAAAGCTGGAGGCATAATACTTCCTGATTCAAAATATATTAAAAGCTACATTATTTAAAACAGTATGGTACTGGTATAAAGACAGACATATAGACCAGTGGAATAGGATAGAAAGACTAGAAAAAAACCCATACATATACAGTCAACATATCTTTGACAAGGGTACCAAGAATATACAATTGGGAAAAGATGGTTTCTTCAATAAATGGTGCTGGGAAAACTGGATATCCACATGCAAACCGAAGAAATTGAACTCTTACCTTACACCATACATGAAAACTAACTCAAAATGTATAAAAGACTTAATTGTATGACCCCAAACCTTAAAACTTCTAGAAGAAAACATAGGGAAAAAGCTTCTTGGCATTGATCTTAGCAATGATTGTTTGGATATGAAGCACAGGCAACAAAGCAAAATTGTGTCATAATAAAGTGCTTTTACACTGCAAAGGAAACAATGAAAAGGCAACCTAAAGCATCAAAAAATATTTGCATATTATAATATATATATATATAAATTATATATAAGAGGTTAATTTCCAAAACATATAGGGATATACTACAACTCAATAGGAAAATATCAAATAACTTAATTTTATTTTTTTTTAAAATTTTTTTTCAACGTTTATTTTTGGGACAGAGAGAGACAGAGCATGAACGGGGGAGGGGCAGAGAGAGAGGGAGACACAGAATCGGAAACAGGCTCCAGGCTCTGAGCCATCAGCCCAGAGCCCGACACGGGGCTCGAACTCACGGACCGCGAGATCGTGACCTGGCTGAAGTCGGACGCTTAACCGACTGCGCCACCCAGGCGCTCCCTCAAGTAACTTAATTTTAAAAATAGGCAAAGAAGGAGTGCCTGGGTGGCTCAGTCGGTTAAGCATATAACTTCTGCTTAGATCATAATCTCACAGTTTGTGAATTCGAGCCCTGCGTCAGGCTCTGTGCTGACAGTTCAGAGCCTGGAGCCTGCTTTGGATTCTGTGTCTCCCTCTCTCTCTGCCCCTCCCCTCCTTGCACTCTGTCTCTCTGTCTCCCAAAAATAAATAAACATTAAAAATTTTTTAAATGGATAAAGGACTTGAATAGACATTTCTATTATTTCATTACTTTTTTGCCATTTGATTTTTTTCTTCCATTTGAAACTTTACACAAATTTTCGGTTTTAATATTTTATATCTTGACTCATTATTTCCTTGTCTTTGTTTTTGCTTTTGGTTGTGAAATATTTTTCTACTTTATGCCATAGTTTATTCACCCCTTCTTCATTTACCATCATCTTAACTCATATTCTCACATTTCTTTTGCCTCTCTATACTGTCAAAAACATTTTTGTAGCTGAATATTTGTTCAAGCTTCTCACCATTTATTTATCAAGACTTTTGATATATCTTGCCAAAATTACTATTTCAGAAAAGTTGTACTATTTTATACATTTGAGAAAGGTCTGTGTTTCTTGTAACAAAGTCATGTGTTTTTATATTATAGGCTTTGAAATTTCTGAAAACCAGAAGAGGCAAGCTGCAATGACTGTGAGAAAAGTCCCTAAACAAAAAGGTAAAGCTGCTTTTACCCCACCAGCTCTACTTTCTTTGTGAGAGTGTGAAGCCATAAACTATGTGATTGCAAATCCCCAGGCTTGTTTCCATGTGGAAGCTAATTTGGGATGGTGGGGGAGTGTCTGGGTTTCCAGGTGTTCCTGATATTGTAGCAAATGGTCTTAAAGGCATAAGGCTTAGGAATAAATAGTGTAAGGTAGTTATGTCCAAAGATAGTTCATTGGGTACAGGAAAAAATAAAATTTGTTTCCTTTTATTTTTATGTAAGTAAAAGAAAGAAACTAAACTTCACTCACAAATTAGAAACTGATGAACAATAGTAACTGTGTAAATTTTATTAATAAGTACAAATATATTTGGAATATATACACAATTTTCCTTAATTTGTTTGGGGGCATTTGCTAAATCAGGAGTCTTAAATCAGAATGGAGAACTTCAACCTGGACCAACACAGAAGATTCAGATACTAGTTTTCTTTCTCTGAACCATAAAGTATTTAAAAAAGGAAAATACCTTGAGAATCAATTTGAATATGGAATAAAGCTTTCTCCTTTTCATGAACTAGACAAAATTAAAATGCTTAGTTGAACAAAAGGAAGTAACTATCCTTTATTTTATTCATGACCCTATTCATTACCAGTTATTTTATACAAGTTCTTTAATTTCATCTTTATGGTACTTCTGAAAAGGTAGGCATTATTAGCCTCATTTTCCAGATTAGCAAACAAGATCTTTGGGATAAAGGGATTGTGAACTTAACTCATCTTGATTCCAAGTCCACTGTTCTTCCCTCTCCATCTTGGGGGTCTGCTGATTCTCTATGCTGGGAAAGAACAGCTCACATTTTGTCTCAGCTCAATTACTGACAGCTGCTTCTATTACTGACAGCCACTGTCATTTTCCCCAGGGGTAGGTGATCTTAATGAGACCTCACTTTCCCCAGGCCCTTCTGCTTTCTCAGTAGACTCTTTGGTTTAGAATGAATCACCCTACAAAATTACTAGATTCAAGTTGCCTGAAATTCCAGCAACCAAGTAGAGCTTCCTTAATTATTCCCAAATGAAGCTCCTTTTCACTGAGGAGGTTGAGTGCCTATGAATATCTGATTTCCAATTAAACAGTGCACCTAGTTGGGGCCCCTGTGACTAGACATGACTTCCTTTTAACTGCTTATTGTTTCTTGCCCTTGGGAGGCACTCACTGGCTTCTTCCCTCATCATGGAAATATGATTATCTTTAGGTAGGAAATTAAAGACAATCACTCTTAACCACTTGGGAGTAAAAACATGAAAGTGTTAGAAAGCTATCTGAAGTTAGGTCAGTATAGATATCATCTGTATGAGTAGGGAAACATTGTGAGAGAATGTACCCCTTCCTTAGAGATATAAGCAGAAAAGAACCCCAGCCAGTTGGGGAGTCCTCAGGCTACAAAGAAGCTACTTTGTGTCCTGCCTGTTTCCTGGAGGCTCTTAACCCCTGAGATTTTCTCACTATGATTCCCTCCACTGTTCTCCACACTGACCTTCATGATGGGATAATACCCCTTTACCTCAGGGCAGGTTCCCTCAAGTCTATTGAATACTGGCTGCTCTTTTCACTACGAACTCTTAAAGGAGCTCCCATAAAGCAACAAGCCAGAAAACAGTCCTGCTCACTCATACCAAGTCTTGGTGTCAGGTTCCTTTTCCACCCTATCTAGTCACAAGGCTATTCCTTTCAGGTTCTCTCTTATTCCCCAATATCTAAACACTGATTCAGCAATTCTAGTTTTCAAAGAAACTCATTTAGTTTCAAACTTTCCAGAATTCCTACGAATCTCCATTATTTCTATTTCTAGTTTTCAAGACTCTCCTAGTCCAGGACTGTGATGATCGATATATTTTGAGACTCGAGGGAACTGCATATGTGGAAGCAATTGTCAAACTTAGGAATTTAATAGTTATATTATGTACATGATAAGAGTAAGAAGGGAATTCTTTAAGATACCCATAAAAGCCAGTTTCTTTAACCCTTCCAATGACCCTTTCCTGGAAGTGATGGGAACACTGTTATTAATAATTCTCTAATGCAGATATATTGAATAAGGTAATTATTCTAGTGTCCCTTTCCACCCCCACCTATAATTCCATGGGACCTTATCAACTCAGTCTACTGCTCTGTAGTGGGGGAAGCCTGGCTGTAAGATAAGCGAAGAGGACAGAGCCTAGCTGCAAGGAAAGCCTTTTTTACTTTTATATATCATCTTGGTTTTAAGAATTGATACATAACTTCTTGGAATTTGAATACTAATTCTTAGTCTATCAACCTATTTCAGTCTGTCATCATAGAACTCCCTAGGGCCATTAGCATAGCTCCCATCTCCGAGGCTGTAGGACCAGCTCAAAATCAAATGAATATCCTAAAATAACTAAAATAATCTTGAAAAAGAAGAGTAAATTTAATCAGTCTATCCTGATTTTAACACTAATTATATAGCTACAATAACCAAGACAGTGTGGTATTGGCAGAAGAAAAGGCATATTATATCAATGAAACAGAATAGAGAAACCAGAAATAGACCTACATAAATATGCCCAAGTAATTTTTGAAAAAGATTCAAAAGAAGTTTAGTGGAGGAAGGACAATGTTTTCAACAAATGCTACTTTACTCATAGACCAAAAATTAAAAAAAAAAACAACTCAACCTAAACTTACACACTATAAAAATGAACTCAAAATGGATAATGAATTTATATTTAAAGCTACAAAACTTTTTAAAAAGGAGAAATTCTTCAGTATATAGGGCTAGGCAAAGAAGTTCTTAGACTTGACACCAAAAGCTGGAACCACAAAATGAAAAATTGATATAATGTGCCTCATCAAAATAGAAATTTTTGCTCTCTAAAAGATCACATGAAGAGGATAAAAAGACAAGCTACAGAGTAGGAAAAAATACAAGCCATGTATCTGAAAAAAACACTAATAACTAGAATATACAAAGAACTCTCAAAACTCAACAGTATAAAACCACACACTTCAATTAGAAAATAGGCAAAAGAGATATTTTACTGAAGAGAATATATGGATGGCAGTTAAACACATGAAAAGATGTTCAACATTATTGATCATTGGAGAAATGCAAATGAAAACCACAATGAGATATCACTACATACCTATTGAAAAGGCTAAAATAAAAATAAATAGTGACAACACCAAATGCTGGGAAGGGTGTAGAGGAACTGAATCATTTATATCTTGCTGTAGAGATTGCTAAATGGCATAGCCACTCTGGAAAATAGTATGGTGGTTTCTTAAAACACAAAATGTACAATTACCGTATAACCTAGCAGTTACATTCCTGGACAATTTTCCCAGAGAAATGAAAATTTACTTTCACATAAAAACCTCTAAACAAATGTTTATAGCAACTTTGTTCATAATAGCCCAAAATGGAAACAACCCAGATATCTTGCAGTAGGTGAGTAAGCAAACTATGGTATATCCATACTATGGAATATTACTTCTTAGTAAAAAGGAGCCAACTATTGGTACATGCAACAACTTGGGTGAATCTCCAAGAAATTATGCTAAGTGAGAAAAGCCAATCCTCAAACGTTATATATGGTATGACTCCATTTATATAACATTCTTGAAATGATATCATTTAGTAATGGGAAGCAGATTAGTGGTTGACAAAGATTAAGGAGGGGGTGAGTACAGGAGAGAAGAGTGGTTATGGAAGAGTAATGATAGTGTTCTTGTGATGACAGAAATGTTCTATCTCTTGGCTGTGTCCCATAACAATGTTAAAATCCTGGTTGTAATATTGTACTAGAGTTTTATAAAATGTTATCATTGGAGAAACTGAGTAAAGGGTACAAAGTGTATCTCTGTATTGTTTCTTACAGCTGCATGTAAATATGCAGTACTCTCAAAATAAAAAAAAGTTTAATTGAGAAATTAAAATGAACACTTCCCAAACTTTCCCCCTAATATTTTCATATCATTTGTTGGCACTCAGTACCTTCATATTTATGACACTTACCACCTTTGAAAATTGCCTCTTAGAGGACATCACCAAAATAGCAGAATAGCTTTCAATTGTCTTCCCCCTGAAGAATATTGATTTTGACAGTCACCCACAGATGAGTGCTTTTGTGAAAGTTCAAAATCCAGCAGAAAAGTTCCAGATCACCCATAGAGAAAAATATCCATGATTAGATGCATAGAAAAATAGGGCCAGTCAATAAAGACTAGAGGAAGTGAATGCCTTTTCAAATGCCACAACAGCAACTCAATACTACAAGGGACATGAAAAATCAGGGAAACATGACATAACCAAAGGAATACAGTTTTATAGAAACTGACCCCCAAAGACATGGAGATATACAATTTTTCCAATAAACATTTCCAAATAGTTGTTTCAAGGAAATTTAGTGAGCCACAAGAAAGCACAGAAAGTTCAAAAAATCAGGAAAACAATACACAAGACAAGAAACTTAACAAAGAGTAGAAATCATAAAAAATAACCAAACAAAAATTATAGAGCTGAAGAATACAATTAATGAAATGAAACAAATGCAATAGAGAGCATCAAAAACAGATTTGATCAAGCAGAAGAAAGTATTTGTGAAGTCAAAAGCAGGTCATTTGAAATTATCGAAGAAAGCCTATGTGAATTATGGGATAAAATTAAGATAAGCAATCTATACAATATTGTAGAACCAGAAGAAGAAAAGAGAAAGAAAGGGGAAGAAAACTTATTTAAAGAAATAATGGCTGAGAAACTTTCAATTCTGTATAAGTATTTAAATATTCAGCTTCATGAGACTCATTGTTTGCTAAACAATGTCAACCCAAATTATATTCTACAAGATACATTATAATAAAACTGTCTAAAGTCAAAAACAAAGAGAAAAGATTAAAAGCAGCAAGATAAAATCTTCATATACAAGGGAACACACATAAGGCTATTAGAAGATTTCTCAGCAGGAACCTAGCAGACCAGGAGAGAGTGGG